TTCTATGGCATCTGTGGGTTTTGCTGTGGGGATGGGTGTGGGAGTAGGGGTGGGAGGTGATTTGGGTGCATTATCTGCACTCTTGGCATTGATCTGAGCCTGGAGAGATGTAATAAGGACATCCTTGACCTTGACTTGTGCTTCCAATTCCTGGATGCAGAGTCCAATTGTTGCAATTTGTCTCTGAATATCTGACAGAAATGCCATCATCTGCTGGGTGAAGGTATCAGACTTTTCTACCTCAGTCATTTGATACTTGTAAGTATTTGCACAAGTGCATTTGGCAAGTAGTCTGGGTTTTCTGCTGTCTGAGTTAGGAATGGTGGTGGCAGTGGTGGCCTCAGACACAAAGGGTCTGACAGGTGCTGGTACAGGAGGTTGCTTGATGGTTGGTGGTTGGCCAAGATCCATAGTTGGTGTATCCAATGTGTACTGTATACTATGTGGGTGGATAGGGATTGTTGCTGATGGATGGATGTTACTTATGTTGAGTTTTTCAATTTGTATTTTTACTCTTTTGGGGTAATATTGATTACACAAAAGAGCCAAGTTATAGTAATTCTATAGTGGCTCATGGAAAACATATGTAGATTTCAAATTCAGACCCTAATTTCTTCCTTAATTTTTTTTATTAAACATTCCTCATTTATTGCTTTTCCACCATAATGTCTACCTCATCTAACACCACCAACCAACCCATGAGACCTTGTGGAAACAAGAAGAAAAATATCAATGACTTCACTTGATGCCTCATTGCTCATGAGGCCACCATAAATGGGACCAGGCAGGTTGCCATTGCTGCTAGGTTTGGAGTCAGTGCACAGTTGGTTTTCTTTATTGTAAAGAGATATAAGGAAACTGGCTGCTTCAAGGCCAAAAAGAGCACTGGGTGCCAGTCCATTCTGACAGAGAGGGACAAGAGAGAAGTTGCCCACAAAGTGGCAAGAGATTCATTCCAGACAATGAATCAGCTTTTCAGCCAGATGACCACCAAAGTGTCCATGACCACTTTCTTAAAGATGATGAAGAAGCTTGGCCTGTTATCTTGCAGGGTGGTCAAGAAGCCTTATTTGACCAAGAAGCACAAGAAGCTGAGGCTTGCTTGGTCTAAGGCCCACCTCCACTGGACCAAGGACAACTGGAAGATGGTTATCTGGTCCAATGAGTCCAGATACCAGTTGGTCACCACCAACAACCATACCAGAGTAGTACAAAAAGTGAATGAAGGACTGCTCCCAAAGAACGTCAAGCCCACTGTGAAGTTTGGAGGTGGCAGTGTAATGGTGTGGGGATCTTTCTCTGGTGAAGGTGTTGGGAGATTGGTGCCTGTGAAGGGCAGTATTGATAGTGCAAGATACATTGAGATCTTGAAGAAGGAATACTGACCTGAGCTGGCCCAACTCAAGGCACTGAATCCAGAGGTAGATTATGTTCTTCAAGAGGATAACGCCTCCTGCCACAAGAGCAGAGAGTCCAGGTTGTGAAAGGCAAAAGAGACCATTGCCACCATGGAGGGGTGGCCTTCCCAGAGCCCTGATCTCAACCCCATAGAGCACCTTTGGGAGGTGCTTGACAGGGCTATCTGCAAGAGGATGACCCCAAGAAACACTCTCCAGGATTTGGAGGTGCTTCTGTTGGAAGAATGGGAGAAAATCCCCAAGGACACCACAGACACCCTCATTTCCAGCATGCATCAGAGATGTAAGGCCATCATTGAGGCCAATGGTGGAAACACAAAATATTAAGGGTTTCCACCCAATAAACTTGTATATAATATTCTGTTGACCTTCTTTATACTTCATCCAATTTTGAAGTCTCTACTGTGTGTTTAATGTGTGTTTTTATGACAAAGAATGAGTATTTCCTATTACAGAAGTATATTGGAAAATAAAAAATCTATGTAAGATTTCTACAAGGCACTGTATATATGTAAAAATGTAGAATAGTATAAATAGTGAGAGCAGATGCACACTTTGGATCTTTGAGAAATATACCTTTATTTTACTATTAAAAATATGAAAGTATTTGATCCATGGCATATTAATATACTAGAAATCCTTCCTATGTTTTTGGAAGTGATTGCTTTTGTAATTCTATATAGACTAATGTAGCAGATAGAAAAAGTATATAAGCTATCCATCTATTAGATAGAAGAAAGCTTTGCAAAATATATTTCTTATATTACAAATACACCTTTTGTTTCTGATTTTTTGAACATTACCAAGCACTCATTTTGCCTCTGATTCTTAACACTAGTGTTGTGGCAAGTAAGGCTTCTTCTTAAGTGATGGCTCTGAACTCTATGGTGTCTTGAAGTTTTTTTTCTTTTTTTCTTTCCCTCTCTCTTTCTTATGTACTATTCATCATAGCTAGTTTCCTTTCTCTTCTTTTGTCCATGTGACTACTATTCCAAGTGCTGCATGTCATAACGTGTCAGCCTATTCAATAAAGAATACAAAAAAAAGCTATATGGCACATGCCCTATAAAAAATTTTGCTAGCCAAGAAAACACAGATACAGCTGGTAGGAGTTGTAAGTGCTTTTTTACAGGCTGCTATATAATAAAAAAAATTATTCACAGTTAATAGAGTTGATAAAATATGTTAGTACAGTATTTTTACTTAGTTTTTGGACCTTTTCAAAAAAAATTCAGACATTCTCTTTTTTTTTTGGACAATTTCCATTTTAATTTCAGACGTTTATAAAAGGAAATTCAGAAAATTTCCATTCTAATTTCAGACATTTACAAAAGGAAATTCAGACAATTCCAATTTTTTATTGGACAAGTTTCTTTTATCTTCAGACTTTTTCCTTACTTAATTTAGACAAACTCTTATTTCAGAGAAGCAGTAAATTTTAACCTATTTTATTATCTCCTTAAACTTCACATTTATAATATTATTTTTTTAAAAAAAACTGAACTAAATAAAAAGATGGACTATATTAAATACCAACCATTAGAAGATACATACTTGACAGAAGATACTGATAAAAAGATGGAATTAGAGACTACAGCAACTGAGTATGGCAATATTGAGATGATTATAGATTTTGACATGATGTTGCAAAATCAAACAACACAAATGACAGAAGCTATGGATAACATTGTTGAGGACATGGGTGCTGTATCATTATATTAGTCAAACAGATATAAGAAATATACCCAAGATCAGATAGAATGGTTTATTCATGTAAAGCAAGAAGAGGGCATGTCAGTCCCAAAAGCCACTATGCTGTGTGGTATTCCTCAAAGCACTGCATATGAATTAATAAATAGATTCAATGTTAGTAATGGCACTGTTCTGCCTGGAAACAATCCAAAAAAAAACAAATAACAAACCAAAGAAACTATTCTCTCAACACTCAGCATTTCTAGTCAAACTCTTTGATAAAAATCTGTCAATTATCCTTGAAGAAGCAAGATTAAAGTTGTGTGAGGCATTTCCTAGGCTGGAAGTCTCTGTCAGTAGGCTTTATAGGCATATTGTTGAAAAATGTGCTTTATTGTTAAAGCAAGCAACAAAATATACAGCTGAACAAGATGCACCTAGGACTATCAAACTTTGTTTTGATATCATTACTCAATGGAAAGCAGCTGGCATTGATTATCAAAATAATTGTGTATTTGTTGATGAAACCAAATTCCACACTCAAATGATTAAAGATTGTGCATGGTCAAAGAAAGGTGATCCAGCAATTGTGAAAGTTCATACCCAAAAGAGTGTTAATATAAGCATTGTTGGCTGTATTGCTTCATTTAGTGTTATAAACTTTTTAAAAGTTGAGCCTTTGAAAAAAACAGATGCAGAAAAAATTGAAAAGGAATTTCCCCAGCAACACACAAGCAAGAAAAGAAAAGCTGCTACCCAAGATATATCAAAGCTGAAACAACTTCCAAAAGGCACTACAGCTTACCACATTGTAAAATTTATGGAATCTGCAATGGATGTTTTGGATAAGCATAACAAAAAGGGCATATTTATAGTTTTAGATAACTGTAGAATTCATCATTCTTACTACATTATCAATGCCATTAACAATAGAGGTTATAGACCTCTTTTTATGCCACCTTACTCACCTTTTTTGAACCCCACTGAAGAATGATGGTCAAAAATCAAAAAGCTTATCAGAAGAAATCCTCTAGATAAATCAGACACACTTACTCCACAAATTACAGAAGCTTGCAACCAGATTACTTTAGAAGATTGTAAAGAATGGTGTGATTATTCAGACAAGTAGAAAGTAATGAGATTGAACAAAGATAATTTTTATTAAGTGAAGAGTGGTTCATTATTTATACTTTTTGTAGGTGCTTATCCTTTGGTGGTATTCTACCTTTTGGTAGTTAATGATTAGTTTATGGCATAGCTTATTGATAGATGCAACCATATGGTTGGTGTAGATGATTTATCCTATGGTAGTTTACATAGGTGTAGCTTTATGGTTGGTGTAGCTGTTCTACCTAATTGTAGACTACATGTTGGAGCCTTATAGTTGGTTCATTGAATAAGCACACCATTATAGAGCCATCTATTATGTCTTCACTTTTAATTGCCTTTGATAGGTCTTATTTAATCCACTAAGGATTTATAGATGAAGGCAGCTCATTAAGTGTCCAATAATAATTTGAGCTTAGAAGGTTGATTTGTAGTTACAACCAATCAGTGAGATGATATAAAGATGTACTATGGTATATGTGTGCACTCAAGCTTTCATAGAGTATTCTGAGTGTCACTCTATGAAAGCATACTACTCATGTTGACCAATTCATGAAGAATCTTTGGATTGAAGTTGGAACACAACAGATGGGTAAGACATGCTGAAACCTATTGGGATAGATGTCTTTTTAATAAGATTAAATTAAAATAGTCTGAAATTCCTTTCATAAATGTCTGAAATTAAAATGGAAATTGTCCAAAAAAGAAAAGAGAATGTCTGAATTTTTTTTTGAAAAGGTCCAAAAACTAAGTAAAAATACTGTAAATAATAACAAAAATAGACGACGACAACGGGACTCGAACCCGCAATCTTCGGCTCCGGAGGCCGATGTGTTGACCATTTCACCATGTCGTCAGCTCAAAAGATTGTCAGTTACCAATTTAAACACAATAATACTAAACCCGAAAGTAGAGACAGTGATAAGAGGAAACTGAGGATAACAAGGTACACACCAGGAGATTTTTCTGGCCTTTAAGCAGTGATATCTCCTTCCTTTTAAGTAAAAGAAAACTTACCTTATATGTAACTGTGTTTAAAATCAAAAGGTTTGCAGATATCTGTAATAAAGGGCACTAAGCATTGTTGTAAGAGACCACTGGAAACAGGTAGGGAGAAGGTACTAGGTGTTGTGCAAATAAGACAAGATATAGTAGATAGTATAGGCTGATAACAGATATCAGAATGTGGATTTTATTATGACAATTAGATAAGTATTTATATAAATGTTTCTATGGTACTATCCAATTACTAAGTGACATATGCTATACAAATAATAAAGGAGTGTATGATCAGTGACATAGAAGTAATGTGAAATAAAGGAGTGGTATTGATGGTGGGGGGAAATGGTTTAAAAAGGAGTGTTCAGATTAGGTCATCACAATTGTGTTCCAACTTCAATCCAAATATTCTTCATGAATAAGTCAACATGAGTAGTGTGCTGTAACATTCAGAATACTCTATGAGAGCTTGAGTGCACATAAGTAACATTGTTGTGATCCAACTTCAATCCAAAGATTCTTCATGAATTGGTCAACATGAGTAGTATGCTTTCATAGAGTGACACTCAGAATACTCTATGAAAGCTTGAGTGCACACATATACCATAGTACATCTTTATATCATCTCACTGATTGGTTGTAACTACAAATCAACCTTCTAAGCTCAAATTATTATTGGACACTTAATGAGCTGCCTTCATCTATAAATCCTTAGTGGATTAAATAAGACCTATCAAAGGCAATTAAAAGTGAAGACATAATAGATGGCTCTATAATGGTGTGCTTATTCAATGAACCAACTATAAGGCTCCAACATGTAGTCTACAGACCAGGAGATTTACTGGCTTTTAACCAGATACATGCTATCCCCTTTACATAAAAAAATATATTGCCTTTTATGGAACTGTGTTTAAAATCAAAGGTTTGCAAGTATCTAAATCTTTCTTTCCTTTTGTGGATACCTCAATATCAAATTGTATTATCAATAAAATATATTGTTTATGAATAAAATTGTTTATTGTAATACTGTAGCTAATAACATACTATTACTATAGCTACTGCTGCTCTAGGCATATTCCTTCATAGCAATAGAATTCACAACCTAAAAGCCTTGTAATTTATTCTTGAGAGATAGATAACTATGCTCAGGAGTATACCCTAAAGACCCTAGATAGTATAGAAGACCACCTAAGACTGACTTGAAAGGAGTCTTTACTTGCCTAATAACAATACAATGAGTGCCTTGTGGAATAAATTGAGCTCAAGCCCAGATGAAGAAACTGCTTACCTTTTTATCACTAGAATAGCCTTTGGTAGTGTCTACCACTTCTTTCTATTGTTTCTCTTTGTTAATAATTGAGATTGTTTGGACAGGTAGATTAACAAGACTGAACAAAGATAAATTTTATTAAGTAAAGAAAGGTTCACTATTTATACTTTTGGTAGGGGCTTATCCTTCAGTGGCTTCTACCTTATGGTAGGATAATATATTCTACCTTATAGTAGTTATGATAGTCAACCTTATGGCTGCTTCACAATTACAACTAAATGGTTGGTGGGGACATTCTACCTTATGGTAGAATTCACTCTCTTTGACCTTATGGTCAGTGTCTATATTGCTGCCTTATGGTAGTATTAATAACTGCCACCTTATGGTTGGCTCATATGTTTTACTTAGTTGTAGTATTATTAGATTCAACCCTATGGTTGGTTCCTGGGATAAGCACTCCATTATTAAAACCATTAATTATTATGAGTCTTTACTCAATTGACTCTGATAGGTCAATATTGTTCTGTTAGGATTATTAATGAAGATGGCTCTTGTTAAGTGTCCAATAGTACACTGAGCTTTAGAAGGTGATTTGTAGTTACAACCAATCAGTGAGATGATACAGAGATGTACTACATTACTTGTGTGCACTTAAGCTTTCATAGAGTATTCTGAATGTCACAGCACACTACTCATGTTGACTTATTCATAGAAAATCTTTGGATTGAAGTTGGAACACAACAATAATGGCATATTACCTTGTTCAGCTATGCTCATCTTGATGAGTACTTGGGTGTTAAGTTGTATGTTTAGTGTGAGAAATAACAAATATAGGAGAATATCAAAACAAATAATCTTTCTTTCTCTATTCTGGTAATGTATACATTTTAGTCTTCACTCATACAATTCACAAATCAAAATTCACAAGTCAAACTCACAAGTCAAACTCACAAGTCAAATTCAAAAGTCAAACAATTCACACTCTATTTGCCTTGGGCCTAAAGTCCAGTATTAGAAAACAATACCTTGATATCATTAAGCACCACTGTTAATACCAGTTACAATAAGCTAATTGAGGTGATTATAGATATTTAGTCAATAAATGAATACACTGTTCTTAATATAAGTAAGTTTGGTTTTATTTTATGGACAATCACCACTAGAGTTAATTTTGTGTGAGTCCTATAATAAATAATTTCTTAAGCAGTGTTATACTGCAAATACTGTGGGCTTATGGATAACAAATTATGCTAAGAGAAGAATATCAGTGACTGAGTTGTAATTTTGGGGTGATTCTTGTTCTATTTCTTGTCTTTACAGCCAATTCAATATTTTTTAATTAAAAAGTCAGTAGCCATTGCTAAAACTCAACAGGCAAGTAGAGTTTGAATTAGTTCATTTAGACAAAAAATAATTCTACTTACAAAAAAAAAAAAAAAAAAAATGGAGAAGCTGGGCGTCGATCCCAGTGCCTCTCGCATGCTAAGCGAGCGCTCTACCATTTGAGCTACATCCCGAGCTACATCCCCACTCTCTTTCACTTTCTCCTCACTTTTGGTAAGTTTTCAAATTTTAACTAACTTTTTCCACCCCATCTATTTGCATCCAGTACATTTTTGGGTGCATCCATCTGCTGCCTTTTCGAATCCATTGTCTGTTTTCCTCTAGGCCTATTTCTCAATGAGCTTCTCTCCCTTTCCTTTGGGAACACCTTTACACCTTGTCTCTGGTGCCATGGAGACCACCACCGAACCACCACCTAGTCCGGCCCTGTCGGACTTCCAATCCCTGACTGCCTTGGTTTTAGGCCTGGCAAAAAAGGTCCAGGAGCTAGAGAGCTCCAAGGCTGATATCTTGGCTCTGAGAGGTCGGATTTCAGAGCTTGAGGCGGAGAACGAAAGCCTGCGACGTCGCGCAGCCGCCACAACACCAGTCACACCCATGACGTCATCGTCGGAGGTAAAAAATGCAAAAATTACTAACAATATGTTGGTTTCTCCTGTCTCTTCTTCAGGATCTTCCCCCCTGGCTGCCTCTGCCAATGCTGTCAAAACAGCAAAGGACTCCTCCTGGGCCACTGTGGCCAAGAAAAACCGCCCTGCTCCTGCTCCCAGACCTAGGACTTCCCAAAGGAAGTTTGAGGCTAATGTCCGAGTCTTTTCTGAGGCTTCTGATGTCACAGGACATCAGTATATCTACATCCCCCGGTCAAGAAAGATGACCAGACAAGAGGTCCGTCGCCGCCTTTGTGTCTTTGGTCTGGAGCCCTCCCGTCTGCTGGACATTTGTTTCCCTGCCCGCTCTGTCCTTGGCCTGTTGGTCCATAATGGGTATGCCCCCACTGTCCTGGAGCTCTTGGAGAAGGCTCAGGTGAAGGTCATCTCTGGGTTTGAGCCCCTGGACCCCAAACACCTGGCTGACCCTGCCTTTGCCAGCCTGTCTTCTGAGGAATTGGAAGACAAGGCCCATGAAGTGCACCGTAAGAGGTGCATCCTGGCCCTGACCCACCTCCGCACCCCCCTGATCCCCTCTGTGGCCAAGTCCTTCCTTTCTGTTGGCTGGATCTCTGAGGAAGACCTCAAGGAGATCCTCTCCAACCCTGCCCGTGCTGTCCGCCACCGTGACCAGGCCTTCTCCATCAGTGATGATGAGATGAGTGAAGTCTCCTCCTCCCCCTCCTTTACCCCTATGACCCATGATGACAATCTTGATTTATGAGTGAGTCCATAAAGGTAAGTTTATGGAATGCCAATGGTCTTCGGACAACCATTGTGCATGATGTATTGTCCCACTGTCCCCCCTCCTCCATTCTTTTTATCACAGAAACCTGGCTTCTTCCCCCTGCCTGTCTACCTACAGACTGGGAGCAATTCCATCTGTATGGCTCTCCTGTTCTCTCTGCCAACCGTGGCTCTATGGGTGTCTCTGCTCTGGTGTCTCCTTCCTTTCCCTTTCCCGTCTACCAACTTCCTTCTCCAAACAAGTATACCCTTTCTTTGAAAGTGGGACCACTTCGTTTTCTATGCCTGTACCTCCCCCCTTCTATGCCACGTTCTCACTTTATGTCTGTCCTTTCTTCTCTTCCTATTTTCCCCAACACCATCTTGTGTGGTGACTTCAATGCAAGGCTGGGTGACATTACTGGTGATGCAGTGATGTCTCCCCGTGGCTCTGCCATGGTTCCATGGCTTGAGGAGCGGTCCCTGTCTGTGTTGAACTCTTCTCTTTCCTATGGCACTGCTACCTGGCATGGTTTCCGGCGTGATCGCACATGCACAAGTATCATTGACCTGTTTCTATGCAATTTCCCTATGACCCTCCCTTCTATGAATATCTTTTCTGACCTCTCCCTTGGCTCTGACCACCGTATGCTTACCCTTTCCTTTACCTATGACATGTCCTCTACCTCCCCTTCTCCCCCATCCTCCCCTTCATCATTCATTCACCCCCGACGCCTCTGGAATCTGTCAAGACTACAAGAAGAAGATCCATGCAACCTGTACATTTCCACATTCACCTCCCTCTCCCAACCCCTATGCACCCAACTACAATCCCTTGTGTCTTCCCCTCCCCCTACTTGCCCACTC